GGGGGGGGGGGGGGGGGGGGGGGTTGAGTGGCAGCTGGAGGAACCGGACACCCAGGCTCAGCAGTGGCCAGCTCTGCCCCGTCTCCATACCCCCCGGCGCAGTAATAGGGGGTCCTGCAGTGCCTGGACCTTTCCTCCAGAGCTGGGCAATCACAGCCACCCCCCATCGCTTGCTACACCAGATAGCAGGCTCTTCGCCTGGGGAAGCACAAGTGGGAAGCAGCCTGCTGTGGATGTCGGTGACCGGTAAAAGGCAGAGTGGTGGGGAGGGAGAAAAATGATGAAAACATACGCCATCAAAGAGAGAATGCTACAAATGAAGCTGCTCCAGATGTTGTTTAGAGGGATTACTGTGGACGAGTGTGTGGTCAAAAGACAATTATTATTATTAGAGGGAATATACATGTCTACTGACAGATATTCTTTATATTTTAAAAGAAACAGTCCCTTCAACCAATATTTCTAATCCTCTTAACTATTTGTACTTGATTTTTTTAAAAACAGAAATGAAAAATATTAACTTTGACATCATTACAAAAGAAATCACTACAATTCATCAGAAATGTAATTGTATTTCCACAGGACTGGGGACCAACCCTTTGAAATGTCTGAGAACAGAACAACTCAACTGTCATATGACAAAGTAAAATAATATTTTGTACTGTGTCCTCTGATAGAAATGTTTCAAACACAGTTACGGGCGACATGTGAACTGGGCAATTCTCACATCTCAGCGCAATTTTTATAATTAAAATGAGATGCATTAATTAAAAGTGACGATCACAAACATGAACAAAGCAAAACCATCATGCTTTAATTTGCAAAGTGTGGCTTAAATGCCTGCACAAAAATGAAGGAAACTAAATTATTCTGACAAGTTGCTGGATAACATTTTGTCTCAATCGTTTGATGCTTTCTCTTAATACCCAAAACTGGTGGAGATAACATTCAAAATGTCAACATAAGAAGGCAAAATGTTTTATTCAAGATCTAAGCACATGGAGAGTTGTCTCTTGCATTATTTGTTTCAAAACAGAACGCATGTCCTTTCACAGCTCTGAGGCGCAGCACTGTGGGAGGGTAATATTCAGTACTTTGGCTTACATTAACCACACACCAGGCTCAACCTTCCCCCTGCTTTGTCTCAGTGGAGTGAAACTCAAGTCTGGATTTCCAAAATGAGTTTCCCCTTTATCTTTCTTACATCAACTTCCATGCTGACACTAAGTGTTGCCAGATAGCAAGCAAAGTTCTGTTAAGTTCCAGAGAAGTTAAAGGCAAAAAAACAGGGAGGGAGAGAGGACTGTGTCCTGTTTGTGACCGGGAGCTTCTCTTGATTTTGTGGTGCTAGACTGCCCCCTGCTGTTCTCCTACAGAACATGGAGGAGGTCAAGCAGAAATGATTCTTTAAAAAAGCTGCCTGATTTTTTTTTAATCAGTCATCCAAATGTCTAACTTTGTGACAACACAAGAATAATGAGTGATTGTGATTTTTTTTTTTTTTTTGGTTACAACATTACAACAATACAGACGTAGGTGAAGTGTAGAAGCTGATGTTTAAAAAAATCCCTGTGTTTAGAATCAAGTCTATCTCCTGTGATTAAACTCTGACTTGATATTCTCTGTTAGTCATGCTACTAAATTTCAATTCATATTGCAAATCAGGAGCAGTAAAATGTTAAAAGTCTATCTTTAAAGTCCCTTGCTGTGGGCAAAGACGAGCTCCAGACTTTAAAAACTTTTTAAAGTTAGACAGGTTCTTTGAAGAGGAGTCAAAGGAGCAATTTAAAGAGACCTGGAGTGGTGTGTACCTCTGACTGCGCCAACTCTGTCTCTACACTCAACTGTGTGTGTGTGTGTGTGTGTGTGTGTGTGTGTCTGTGTGTGTCAAGCTGCCAAGCAACCATGTGCAAACACACACACTCACACACACAGAACACACTCCAGTAGTTGCCTCTGTACCTGACTTTGCCTTTTTCCTTTTTTATTTCAGCAGGGTGAATTTTTATCTAAATGCAAAGCAGGTGATAGGTGCTCCAGTTTCCTCTAGAAGTAGCTCCCTTGTCTGGGCTCTCCTCCTGATAAGAGTCCTACTTTGCTTGACATAAAAGAGCCTGGTATCATTTCCCCTGCCTCCCCAACAACCCCCAGCTCGCTGCCCTCGCCCTTCCCCTCCCTTCACAAAGCTGCCTCTATTTGCTCCCAATTCAGGGCCCAATTGCAGATAAAGTTACAGCAAATTTGTTTGGAGGAAGAGCTGCTGAGGCCTGCAGTCCCCCGAGCAATAACAGCCTTGTCTTTCAGGGGCCGTAGGGAGAGCTGGCAGCGGCACGAGAACAGAACTCAACACCGTGCACCACACAACGGCCTCAGCTCAACAGGAGGGGAGGCAAGGGGAGAGATAAGGATGTGCAGGGAGGGATGGACAGATTGAAGGGAGAGACATTGAGTTTGCAGGTGTGGCGAAAGGAAGCTGACACTTAACCTCAAGACAGGGAAACACCGAGACCCACCCATACACACACACACACACACACAAACACACACACACACACACACACACACATACAAACGTGCAGACAGACACCACCCATTATGCAGGACAGGAGGTAACTCCAGTCCCGTCCATTGTGCCAACGCCTCAGGCAAAGCTGCCATGGTGGCTGATTCACTGTTGGGATGGGTGGGTGACAACAGTGTGGGCGTATGAGAGAGAAAGAGAGAGTGAAAAGCTACATGTGAAACTATGTGATATCTCCCTTTCATCACATGCACACAAAATATACAGCTGGCATTCAGTGGCGATATGTACATGCAGCCTGGCTGGCATTGCAAAAACTGAGCAGAAGGGAAAGTCAGGACAACTATGAGGAAAACAAATTGAGAAATTTTACATGTCGGAAATGCTGTAAAGTCTGACAAGAATATATTTTTGATGCATTCCTGNCGATATCCGCAGGCATACTTAGGTGATACAACGTGCACACATTTGTTAATTTATAGGTGGAATTGCCCACAACTCCACCTCTGCAGCTACAGGAAAGTTAAGAGTAACATCTGTCTCAGAAGACAGCCAGACAGAGAAGTGTGAGAAGACACACATGGCTGTAATTGCACACAGCCATACACCTTCATGAACGCACAACCTTGGCCAGATGGCCCCCCATAAAAACCCACTTAAAGAGATGAGCGAAGTGATTAAGAGACCTCTCAAAGTGCGGCAGAAATGAGAGAAGGATGGAGAAATGGAAGGGTGGGAGGGGGTACCTGCGTGGAGGGGAGACCCTAAATACTCTGATGCTTTTAGCTAAGTGCATACTCCTACGATAACTGACTCCCAAAAGGGTGTGTGTGTGGGGGGGGGAAGACACACCTAAATTTCAGACTTTGTATAATAAAACGCTCCGTCCTTGGCCCAGATAATCCTTTATCGTCATCTGAATGCTTGGTATTTAAGTGGGCACAATGAGGATGTGAAGAGCTGGCACTGTTAAGCTGAAATGGATGCACTGTAAAATTTCTTTTTAAAAAGGGTAAAGAGCTATACATGGCAGGGAAATGAATGTGTGTAGATTTGTGTGTTACTCAAGGCTGAATCGTCTCCTCTCCATTCACCATCAAGAGCTGAATTTTTTTAAATGACCTTGTTATGTGTGGACTCTAAAATTGTTTTCATTTTTTTTTTAAATTTTGTCTCATGCCTATTATTTTGACAGACTCCCATCTTTATAAACGTAGGGACATTTTTTGGGAAAGTGCAACAAAAATTTGATAATTTCATAATGCACACACACAAATATTGATGAAATAAATGAGTAAGTGACACCTGCTACACACTCCACACACAGTGGAATGTTTTTCTTTTCTCACAAAAAAAAACTTCCTGTTAAAAGGTCTTCCTGTTGTTAGGATGTTTAAATATTCCCTACATGATGCATAACATTTTTTCAAACAAACATATCTGAACAGCAACTGTTGTCAACAGTCTGTCCTTGAATTCTGTGAAATATTTTGTTAACACTGATATATTTTACCTTTTTAGCAAAGGTCAGAGGATTGTTTTATAACTAATCTAGAGAATTATTCCTGTCAACAGTTGACCTGCTAACTGTGGACTTTTTAAGTACTATTTTTCCACTGTCAAATTTTTGTATGGTTTAAGTGTTTTATTTTTTTACACATTTTTATGTTACTCAGTGGTTAAGGTTAAAGTGCACAACCAATTCTTCTTTCTAAATTTTTAGTTCATTATGTGTTCTTTGAGATATGATTTAAACTATTCTTAATGTCTTAATGTATTCTTAACATTCTTCATGTCAGAGAACACACACAGAAGGAAAATGTTAACTGATCAATACTCTCTTTTGGCCCGTATCTTGTGATGACACTGTGACCTGCCGTAAAAACACATAATCTCTCTCTCTCTCTCACACACACACACACACACACACACACACACACACACACACACACACACACACACACACACTTCCCTTTCCTTTGCAGAGGCCGAAGACCAGTGTCATACAACCGAATTCTGCTAATGTCTAACGTTTGCTGCAGAGACACTTAATGCTGTGTTAAAGAGCTGGGTCAGGGCGGGGCCACCTGTCCTGCAGCTGCTTAAGTCAGGACACTGAAGCAGACAGGATTAAATGCCTGCTCTGTCATTTTGGTGCAGGAACTCAGTGCCCTGCAAGAGTATGTCTCTTACTGATAGTTCTGCTGTCCAATTAGACTTCACCTTTTAATACCAGACACAGATGACAGAAGTGAGGGAGCCAGGAAGTGTTGAGTCCATGAGAATAAAGAGAGACTTTGTCACTTCTCATGTTTCTGGGAGCAATTTATCAAACCTTGGTAGAGGCCAAATGCATATTTATAATTAACAATCTAAAGCTTCTTAAAATATGGGGCATGACCCACTTGTGGGCCATTTAGAGTGTTGCACGAGAAGTAATGATATGAAATTTTCCAATATAATAATGTATTTTTATATATTTTGTTATATTTTGTATTTTTATTAAGGGAAATAAGACATTGTTATCACTATTAGTGTTGTGTACAAAAGCAGTTGCTATATTGTCCTGGTAGGATTAAGCCTTTCATGATGACCTTGTGATGTTAATGTGGTTATATACGTATATATATATGTATGTATATATATATATACATATATGTGTATATATATATACTGTATATATATATATATATATACATACATATATATATATATATATATAATGGCATGCCGTTCAGGAAATTATTATTTGAATATATATACAAAAAGTCTGAATATAAAATCACACAGTGATTCAGTGATCTTAGATCGTTAATGATTTCATGACTGTAATCATAATCTGGTCGGTGGTAGCAGGCATAGCTGCGGAGTACAGACAGTGTGGTCAAATACGCTTCATATTTTTGTATATATATTCAGACTTTCTGTATATACATATATTCAGACTTTGTGTATATATATTCAGGATTTTTGTGTATATATTCAGATTTTTTGTATATATTCAGACTTGTTGTATATATATATTCAGATTTTTGTATATATATTCAGACTTTCTGTATATACATATATTCAGACTTTGTGTATATATATTCAGGATTTTTGTGTATATATTCAGATTTTTTGTATATATTCAGACTTGTTGTATATATATATTCAGATTTTTGTAAATATATTCAGACTTTTTCTAGTTGAATAATATGAAAACTCCATACATTATCTACTTTGTAGAGAGTATTTGAAGTGAGCTTTTATATTTAAGCAAAAAACAGAAAAGTAGTTAATTGGGACTTCAGACGTTGTCATCTCGCGCCGTCTCTTAATATTAAGTGTGTCTACAAGGGTGGTGTACAGTGTGGGGATGGCATGTACTTGAGACATCAACAATCTCTTGTGTCAAGTGTGCAATTGCCAGTGAAGGATTCACCATCAGTATCAGTGTGTGTGTGTGTGTGTGTGTGTGTGTGTGTGTGTGTGTGTGTGGTTGTTAACTGATACATAAACCACATTTCATCCTAGAGAGGTTAGTACACCTTTATGAAAAATGAAAAAAACTTAAAAAACCTTAAATAACATGGAAAAGCACAATGAGAATATTGTGCCTTAAAGTGATTTTAAAGAGGCAGAGTTAACTGAAAAGATCTGAAAGCTCCTCAAATATCAAAACATTCTAAAACCTAAACAAACAAAGAACGTAACATTAGGATTTCTAAAGGGAAGGACATATAAGAATAAAGATAAATCTCTTAAGCCCTTAGGAACGTGCCGTGTTTCAATGACGCACCAATAACCATTAACACTCATCACAATATACCACTGCAATAAAATAAAAGCAAGACACATGTCAGTGTTGTGAATCTGAGATCTTAAATATATAAATGTAATGTTGATATGGAAGCTTTAAATATATCATCTATTTTGAGATACTTCCCTTTAATATTTAGGTTGGTCATTTTTTACAGACTAAAAAAAGACTTTAGAGAGATTCTAGAAGATGTTTTGGAAAGGTACCAACTTTTCTGGAAATAAGGGCTTGTAAAATAAATAAATAAATAAACAAATCCTGTTCCGACTATGTTTTGTGTACTAACTCTATGCCGAGACCCCAAAGACTTAATGTCTGGTAAATCTGTAGATTTGTAGGTGACACCTCTACGTACCACAAAAGCACAGATGCTCCTCTGGGGAGAGTCCCATTCGAAGCAGCTGTTGATGTAGCAGCCAGTGTTGATGAGGAACATGATGCAGCGTCTAACTCTGTTAAAATTACGCAACAGAAGCTGGGAGAGAGGACAAAAAGGAAGGAGTGAGTGTTTTCACCAAGTTGAGGCTCAAGGTCAAGAAAAAAAGATTGCTACACAGCGAACAAAGAACAGACAGACAATGACGTTGGTAAACATGTGAACAGCATGAAAAAAATAATGCACTAACCTTTACACATGGAGAGCTTTTAAGGACTAATTTGAAAAAAAAAAAAAAACACAAAACAAAAACCAAATGAACGCTCTGTGAGGTCTCTGCATGATTCACAAGTTTGCAAGGACGCAGAGTTAAAGGTCGTTTCCCTCTTTTATCTTTAGACGAGAATTCATCACAGTTTAATAAGTAAATGCGCTGCATCTCATAATTAATGCCTTAGTTCAAATGACACACTGCCACGAAGTCTCTTCATAAAAGCCTGCTGCGTCTCATTCTGCTGCCACTTTCTCAAGCATTGACCCTCACTTTGTCTGTGCTGCTGCAGGATAACAGTGGTGTGGACGCGTCAAGGACACTTTTGGTTTCCTTCTGTGGGAAACTGTGCATAGATGTGGATCGACGTACTGTACAAGACAGTGTGTCTTCGAGTCTTCTGTCCCAGTGACAAAGTTAAGTACAACATTAACAATTTTCAACATAGTACAAGGGATTCTCTTCCCCGAGGCTTCTCCAGGCATTTGGCCAGAGATGAGAAAGAGACAGAAAGAAGTGGCTAACTGTTGTCCTCCAGAAGAGTCGCCAAGCATTCTGGGAATAGCATAACGCTTCCACCCAATCAGGTCACAACCAGGAGAAAGTGCTCCCAAAGGAGACACTGTCTCCGCAGATCACTGTTCAAAAATATTGCAGGGCTATTATTTTATTCTAGGCAAAAGTACAGAAATGTCTGTATGTTTCTCAGTAAATTTGCATGTGGTTAAGGGGTTGGCTTTGCTGCTTTGATGCCAGATGAGAGGAGGATTCCTTCCTCTCTATGTATAATTATGTATGTGCTTTTTGTTGGCAAACTGAGGATGATTGTACAGTGTCCTGCTGGGGACACACAGACCCTAAGGACCACACTGAGGACCTCCAATACTCCATCGCAGTGTTCCTCAGCGCAGGCACTTGATGTACATGCTGCACTCTCCCAGGCTCATTATTGCTGTAACTGCTTTGATAAGAAATATTATTTTCATGAATTATTCCAAAGACTGCCTTGAGTTGACACTTAGCAAAACGACAAAGACGTTTCCTCAGGCAAATGCCATAATTGCAATTAAATGCTCATATTTTACAGCGGCGGGACACTTGTGCATCACTTTCTTTACTTTATTTTGTGTAAATGTGTGTTTCAGGACACTGAGCAGTAAGTAGCTGCAGGACAGCTGCAGGCACAAAAGAGCCCTCACGGAGCCATCGTTTCAAAGCAGCCTGTGACATCATCATTGCCAGAAGCTGACATGGGTCAAACCCGCGAGTCAGGGGTGAAATGGAGATGAAGAAATGAGGACCCAGCACTTGGAAGAAGAAGCCTGGTGAGAGAGGGCCGAAAGGTTTGAACTTAGAGTCCAAGAGAGAAAGAGAGAGAGAGACGGCAGGAGCAGTGAGGACGATGGAGGGTGGACAAAGGGCTGGTTTGGGAGCTGAGAGTTCTGTTGTGTTGTGCAGCAGCGGGCAAGGCTGTGCTCGACTGTGCATGGCGCAGTATTGACCGTTTAGTCCAAACGGTCACTCGTATGACACATCTGATGTGAGCCAGCCCCTGCTATTCAGCTCTTTGTGGCGCCGCCACACTGAGTGGCGTGACAATGAAGTGCAAAGCAGCAGTGGCAAAAAGGGCCAACTATAAGGATAGCCAATCTACTTATGCACCCCAGAGCTGACAGCTTGACATTTCTATTCACCACTCAGAGTGGATACGAGGAGGTGGGGGACAGGGGCGATGGGGCGATGGGAGAAGGGAAAGAAGAGGCTAGGAAGAAAAGCAAAAGAAAAACGAAAAGAATTGCTGTTTTTCCTTCAATCATCCTGTTGTATCCTGCCCACATAGTTGTTGTACTTTGCAAGATGCCACTCTCCAGGCTTGTTGGTTGTGCTCCAGACAACTGGCCAGATAGAGTAGCTGCTATAGTGGTGGATGTAGATAATCAAAGAAAAAAATGGGAGGCAAAGAGCTAAGAAGATTAGTGCTGGGCTGCTGATGTACCTGTTTGGACACTTTGGGCTCCTCCTCAATGTACTTCTGCTCCACGGGAATCAACGTCCTTAGACCAGCCTTCACCTTTAGGATGGAAACAACACACACACACAGGTTGAGGTTGAAATTGCATAAAGATTAATTACATTATTATTTCTGAAAATGTTGTTTGCTGAAATAATGTGGTAGCAAGTGTGTATTAAATCTCCAACTCATATGTCAGAGACTTGAGGGAGAGAGAGGGGGGAAGAGAGAGAGAGGGAGGTAAAATGGCCGCTAAAGGACACACACAGGGATGGGGAATGTGGGAACAAAGACTGCAGGGAGAAAGAGAGGGATACTTCGATAATTAAAGCCAAAACAAGGACGAGGGACAAGGGACAGGGCATAGATAGACGTAAGGGGTGGGGACAGAATAAAGACAACAGAGGAGTATGGGGGGGTGTTGTGAAGAAGAAGAGAGGATAGGGAGATATAGAGAGAGAGATGTAAGTTGTGGAGGGTGAAGGGTGAAGGAGAGTAAAAAAAAGCAAAATAAAAGACTTACAGCATTAAAAACCACGTCTATTTCGAGAAAGATGACCCCCTTTGTTGGCCCTGTCAGCTCCTTGCTTTTCAAGGCGTAGGCTTTGCGTTCTCCATTTTGGATCTGTGGGAGAGGGACATGACAGGCGTCTGTCTGGCAATACCCGGCAGAATCGGCTCCCAGGGCCACCTTTGAACCCCAGCTGCTGGTGCTGACAGGGAACCCAAAAAAACTGTGGCAACTCTGACAAGTACCTGTTCATTACCCACTGCAGCTCCACTCTGTCAAACAGAAATTAACTATCCTGGGGAATCACACTGTACAGCCGAGCATGCTTGGATTAGAGATGCAGCAGCTTCTAAAGGCTATCTATATTTTCCACACACACTCTTTTTACTATTTTGTATTTTTTCTTCTTCTCTAAATCACACTGGTCTTTCAATCAGTGTCATTTTTCGAATTGTCTTGCATCCCTGTACTTTGTGTTTCCCTCACCTATCAATCTCGCTGTATTTTTTTTTTCACGGCCTCTCTTTCAGTTTTTTAAGTCTCACTCTTGCTGTCATCCCTTTTTCTTTGTGAAATAATAATAGTCTCATCTGTGCAGTTGCAAAAATAACCTCTGCTTTTTATATCTTCCTCTATGTGTTTTTGTTTCTTACTGTTCCTCTGTGTTCTCTTCACTGTCCCCCCAGGGAGACGGGAAAAAGAAACACACAGAAAGAGATCTATCTTTGACTCACATTTAGTAGAGGAATAGCTACTTTTCCCAGGAAATCTGCACTTCTGTCTCTGTCCTCGTCGTAAACAGTGACCTCCAGTACCGAGTGGATGTCCTTCACATTACTGGACCACACACAAAGACAAAAGTACTGACATGAAGTATCGGCTGCAAATTCAAAAATTTGTTAAGATTTTGTTTTTTTTAACACAATGAGACAAAGAAAACAGTTATTTATGACATATAAAGATTCAACTATATTATAAAAAATCAATTAGCATTGCATTTACAGATGAGGTAGCACCAAGGTTTAATAAATGAATTGCAGTTATACTTTTGCTTAGAAAAACAAAAACAAAAACTATAACTATAATTTTAAAATATTATAACCTCCCTTTTTCAGAATTTTTTTAATTAATTTAATAACAATTTTCCATTAGAAAATTCATGCTGATACATATTTTTATTTTATTTTATTTAAATTCAATTATTAAATAAATTCATAACTTAATGAATAATTTATTTATTTATACAGAGGTATGTTTGAATTCCAATGTTTATTTATTTATATAAAAGTTCTTATTTTTAAACAGCATACCCTGCATATCTACACAAATTACATTTTACAAAACAGATTGCATTCTGAATGCCACAATTTTGAATTTTGTTCAGACAGAACTCTCTAATTAAATGGTCAAAAAAGAAAAAAGAAAATGTGTTTATCAGTGCAGTAAATACAGGCTCTACATGTCCGTGTACATCAATAAACTCCACTCACAAAGTGAAGACCTTGTTCCATTCTGGGTTGAGGTTTTTGTAGACAGTGTGAGTTTGCAGCCGATCGTTGCTCAGCTCCACCACACAGAAGGGGTCACTGAGAACAGGAATAAAAGGGATGACCTTCTTTTCGAAAATAAAGCCATGAATAAAAAGGGTTAGATCAAGGTTTTGTTTGCTCATGGTTTTAAAGAGGGCAGGAATCCTAGGTAGTTCCAACATCCTTTGTCTTCCAGCAACATCCGCTATTTAGAAGCTATCACAACTATAATAATACAGTTGTTTCATTTTAAGCCCCCTATGTATATATATGCATACAGTACCTGTAATATAATACAACGGCATATCAGTGAATAAGCTGCAAGGCAATTCTATCAACAACCTGGAAACAACAAGGAGATAAGACTGAGCGCCCTCGGCTGTCACAGGCAGGAGGGCAAGAAGAGATGGAACACAGAGGACATGATGCTGAGGACATAGGCTGCTGAGAACACGGAGAGCAATGTGGCCCTACAGGCCATGGAAGTTCAGAGTTGATGAAAAAGACAGCTGAGGTGTGGGGTTGGGGTTAGTGAAGGCTAAGTGGTCCATTGTTATGATTCTTAAGTCAGCGGTAAGAGAGAGGTAGCGAATTAACTCAAAAGAAATAATTATGGAGAAAAAATTCAATTTAAAAAAAATATTTTTGAGAACTATTTGATTTCTGTAATTGTAAGAATGAGATAAACTATTGTAAAATACCAGGCAAAAATAAAATATGACGATTTTAACACTCGAAGATGTACTTAAAAATAAATACTACACATACATAATATATCCAATAATAATGTTTACAGTGCATGCCACATTATAGTGTGAAATGTGCGATTACAGAGGAAGCCCAAGATTAGGAAAAAAAAATCACATTTTATTCTTCCCTCCTGGGATTTGCATCCTGCACTGTCCTATGTATTCTGCATTTGTTTACAATACACCACATTTCAGTTTCTTTGTACACAGCAAGGGCTAAGACCATCTCACCACAAATACCAGCCCACCTCCTGTTCAAATGCCTCAAAAACGAACCCTAAACAAAAACAAAACTTCTGATTCAGGCTTTGATCATCGTGTTATACTGAAACTGTTGGGAGGCGTTGAGCTGTTTGTTAAAGCTTGGCACTTGAAAAGACTGGGTCAAGTTAAAAAAAAAAGAAAACTTCCAAAGAAATTCCCAGGGAAAATATTGAGAATATTAAAATGTTCAGCATCAGCGTTGCTTAATAGAAGTGTAGTAAAGAAATGGATTTGAGTTTAGACTCTGAGCGTAATATCTGGTGTGCAGCCCAGTTTGTGCCACATGAGGAAATGGCTGTGTGTGTATGAATGTCATTGATTGGTGTGATTTTCCTCAAATGTTGTGACAAGGGCAAGACATTTAGTGGGTGTGAAAAGTAAATGTCAACGTGATCAATGTGATATTTCATATCTGTTTGTGGCGCTGTATCGATTCGACGTGAAGCGGATATTGACAGAAGGGACTGCTGTGAAAACAAGAACACACTAAAATAGACCAAACATAATGTGGACATGAGTCTGGTTATCAATATATATATGTGTGTGTGCAATTAGTGTCACAGACATGAGGTGGCCGTGGTTGGAAGGAAAGAACTGGATGTGTTTTGTGTGAAGAGATTCTACATGGCCATATAAATGAGAAAATAAATACAATTTCATGCAATTATTGCTGTTTCATAAATTTAAAGGTTGACATAAAGTCATCATGTGACTGTAGGTCACTGCTTTTATTTTCCAGTCCATTTTAAAATGTCATAAAAAATGACAGAAAAATAAATTAAGCGGACTTTCTTTGTGCCAGATATAAATATATTGTAAATACTATAATAAATGGAAAGTGGTATTAAAATGCATTGGTGCCATGTGCTACTTAGTATTACAAACACACATACAGTATATTTAAAACAATGGTTATTAAGGATTTAACAATTTGTAATAATGAAAGAATTTTGTCACTATTTTTCCAATGTGTGAAATTATAATCGCTCCAGTCCCTAAACAGGAGAACTAAATCAGGTCGAATATCAATTTTGATTGCATCCCATTAAATTAGTCGATGAAATGATTTGCGCCAAAATCAGACCCTTCACCCAACGTTTCTCTCACAAACGATTCTGCGTTTTGATGACATGACAGCCTGTGTTGCAATGAAGAGTCTGTAGTCATTGGTAATGAACTTTCACCTTAGCGGCCACTGACACTAGAGGCAGCTGTCTCAACCAATTACACGCATTGGTTTGAGCACCACTCGGTGATCGTGCAGGTAATGTCCGAGTCCCATGGCTGAGGGACAGGGAGAACACGGAGAAGAAGTGAGCGCTGACTTATTACAGGGTGCTCGCTGTTAAGTGTGGAGGGAGGACACAGTATGGAGATGAAAGAGAAGCTGTAATTGCTTCACAGGAAGCTCAGCATGAAAATGCACACTACGTCTACACAAGGAATACCCACTTTTGTAATTTGGTAAAATAATAATTAATAATTGTTTTGGAATTAAAAAACGAGTTTTAATTGTTGTTTGGCTTTAGATTTAGATTTTTTTCCGTAAGAGTTTGTCTATAGACGTACAGAAAAGTCTGAGGAGGAATATTTTGAATTACTTGCTCGAGAAAATAATTTGAGGAAAACATAAATAAAAAGATGACTATGATGAAGATTTTGTCTCCATGAAAACACACCTAGTTTGGAAAAATAGAGTAGATTGATTTGTTCATAAGTAGAATTAGGTGGTTAAGGGTTGATGTATTGTCTGCATGAAAAAGCTCTTGACAAATGTACACAAGTCCAGACGTATTTAAAGAATGTGAAAAACATGTATGTACTGTGTTGTTGTTTAATGAAAATAGTGTATGCAAGTCTGATGTGTGTCATTTTGTGTGTATGTATGTGTGTGTGTAAGGTTGTGAGTGTGTGGATGTGTGTATCCCTGCTGAAATGCTCTTACCGCAGAGCAGCCACTCAGAGGGACAAGAGGAGGCAGAAAAAGGGGTTGTTGGTTTTAGATACTATTTTCAGTTATCCTTTCCTTGGGCTGGAGAGGAGCTACTCCACAAAAACACTTCAATTAGAGTTGGGGGGCAGGGAGACTGGGGGAGTGAGACAGAGAGACATCGGGAGAGAGATGCTGAACTCTTTTTCACTCTGTGTTTGTCTGTCTGTCTGTCTGTCTCTGTCTCTCTCTCTCTCTCTCTCTCTCTCTCTCTCACCTTGCTCCTGACCCTCTCTTGGTCTGCCATGTTAAAATGGGGTTTTCTTGTGGTGAGGGTTCTTACATGGTCCTCGCAGAGCCATTGTTCATGCCAGTGACACACACACACACAAAACACTAATAGTTGAAGAGGAATTTAAGTTATTAAAAATATTTGTAAAATATGAAATTATAATATTTTGTATTTTTAAAAAATGTGAAAAATGAAAACAAATTCCATGTATATAAATAGCTTTTATAAATGGTAATCCATGCACCACTGTATTTCTTTTTTATTTTATCATGTCAACAAACTTAATTAGATCTTTCATAAAAATATGTTGTGGAACATATTCTCCATCACTGTGTAAAGCCGGCAGAGGATTTTAAAAAAACAAACAGCCAATAGATATCTTTTTGTAAATTTCCACAATTTTCCTCTTGATTTTTACCATCTTTAAGCAGGGATCCATGCGGCTCAGACTGAATGATGAGCTCTACAAAGAGGTCATGGAGCAAATTTCTGCTCCCAGTGAAATACAAGAGCCATTAGCCCTGCACCGCACAGGGCTAATGGCTCCTCACAATAACCCAAATCAACCAGCTCCACTCTGTATTGGCTAATGGGACTGAGGCTGCTTCAAATGGAGAAAAACTCTACACTCGTTTTCACACACAAACACACACACACACGCACATGCACACACACACACACACACACCTTTTTCTACTAGATAATATGGAGTGAAAAACTAGGCCTGTCCACTGTAGACCTAATTAAAAGTAAGAATTAATGGAGAATGGAGGATTCAGAGAGAGCAAGCAGAAAACAGAGGAGGCAGGAGGAGGGAAAGGGG